AGAATGGAGGAGAAGAGATTGTGGCGTGACCATCCCCCCTGGGGGGTGATTTCTCGTTTTCTATCTCTCTGTCTCTCTCTGTCTCTGGTGAGCGCACACGCCCTATAGCAAAAACCTCTCCAAAAAAAATTATTTTATTTAACTTTATGTATTTATTTTAATTCGACCAGAGAGGGACAGAGTAAGAGATAGAGAGAAAAAGTGAGAAAGCAAGTTGCCAGGTCCGGGACTTGAATCACAGTCAGCCATGTGGGAGTCCAACACCCTTAACCACCATACCACCTGCTGACCTCAAAAAATAATGATTTAAAAAGAAAAAAGAAACTCGCCCTGCAGGGGTAATGGCCACACCACAGTCCCTTCTTCTTCATTCTCCCAGAATTTTGGGTACACCTGCACACGCTCCCGGTGTGATTTTCAGGCTGCCTGGTCTGGGACTCAAACCATGTGGCTGACCCTGTGGGATTCAATGCCATAGCCACCACACCACCGGCTGCCCGTCCCTGTATTCATTTTTTTAAAGAATTATTTTATTTGGCTTGATTTATTTACTTCCTTATTTTTAATTTGACCAGAGAGGGACAGAGTGAGAAAGAGAGAGAGAAAGTGACAAAGCGAGTCACCAGGTCAGGGATTTGAACCGCAGTCTGCCATGTGGGAGTCCAGCACCCTTAACTACCACACCGCCTGCCGGTCCCAGCCCCTCGATGTTCTTTTTGGTGTATGGGAATGATCGTGGTAACCGCTTTCTGCCACTTTTTCCTCCCTCAGGAGATTAGCTCCGTTCTTGCCCATCAGGCGGAGGTTTGAAGAGCGACCCGAAGAGTGAAACGTGACCGTCTCAACCCCAGACCCTGCCACTGCAAAGCTTATCTGGGAAACGGTCTTCGCAGATGGAATTAAGCCAAGACTCTTGAGAGGCGATTACCCAGGATTAACGGAGCAGGCCCTAGACCCAGAGACCAGTGAGCATCTTACTAAAAGACAGAAGAGGGCCAGCAGTTGGCATAATGGCTATGTCGCTGGACTCCCATGTAGTCGACCACGGTTCGCGTCCCAGACCCGGTGGCTTAAACTCACGCCGGGGCGCATGTGCGTGCGTGCCCAAGATCCTGAGAGGAGAATGGAGGAGAAGGGATTGCGGCGTGGCCATCCCCCCCGGGAGGTGATTTCTCGCTTTCTGTCTCTCTGTCTCTCTCTGTCTTTCTGGTGAGTGCACGTGCCCTATAGCAAAAAGCTTCTAAAGAGAGAGGAAAGAAAGAAAGAAAGAGAGAGAGAGAGAGAGAGAGAGAGAGAAAGAAAGAAAGAAAGAAAGAAAGAAAGAAAGAAACAGACAGACAGACAGACATCCTGGGCATGTTTTGTGTTTGCGTGCCCCAAATCCACACAGAATGGAGAAATGGAGAAGGGATTGCAGCGCGGCCATACCCCATGGAGGGGCGATTTCTCGCTTTCTCTCTCTCTGCCTCTGTCTGTCTGGTAAACGCACATACCCTCTGGCAAATTACGAATAAAGAAATGGGGGCCAGCAGGTGGCGTAGTGGTTCCATTGCTGGACTATCACATGGCTGTGATTGGAGTCCTGGACCCAGAGCCTTGAAAATCACACTAGGATGGGTCCAGCAGATAGCATAATGGTTATGTTCCTGGACTCCCACATAGTTGACCACAGTTTGAATCCTGGATCTGGTGGCTTACAATTCATGCCAGGGAGGCCAGCAGGTGGCATGGTGATTGGTTAA